GTAAAATACAGTCAGTATATTTAAGCTTTGAATATTAACTCTTTTAAAAATTAGAAACAAAAAGTATTTGCAAAATTGTGTTGTAGTAAAAATGAATTTATTAAAAAAAAAATCTAAAAAGGAAAAAATGTTCAAATAGAACACTTGAAACTAGCAAAATTGTGTTGAATTAAATACAAAATTAATAACAACAAATAGACAAAAATTCATTAACTCTTTTAAAAATTAGAAACAAAAAGTATTTGCAAAATTGTGTTGTAGTAAAAATGAATTTATTAAAAAAAAAACCTAAAAAGGAAAAAATGTTCAAATAGAACACTTGAAAGTAGCAAAATTGTGTTGAATTAAATACAAAATTAATAACAACAAATAGACAAAAATTCTAAAATTGAACACTTGTATATATATAATACTTGAGAATTAAAGTTAACAAGCTATTTCTTTTGTGAATTTTTATGATATCTTTTGTTTATTATTTTGTTATATTAAATATGAAACATGCTACAAACAAGCAATAAAATATACAAAAATACCATACTTTAACATTTTTTTTAATCAAATTAATTTTGCAATATGAAATTTTAAATAGATATCTAATAAAATGATTTTTTTTCTTTATTTATTACACGGCGGCTTTCCAGTGGGACAGTGCGCCCTTTGATTATCTAGTTTTACTTCTGGAAAAAATACTCTGTGTGGCAAATACACAGTTAGATATTCAGTTTGTCACCAATAGATAAGAGTCTAATCCACAATGGATACCAATAGGGCATCAGTGGCCGGGTGGTCTAAGTAGTCAGAATTACTGCATTACTAGCCTGTCAACACTGAAGTTGTAAGACTCCATAACTTCCATGGAGCCATCATATTAGTAAAACTACTGAAGAAACAGCAAGCAGCTACAGAGTTTAGAATAATACAGAACTCAGCAAGTGGTAAACATCGTCAAAGAAAGTACATTGAAAATGACAACAGGCTAGCTGACCTAAACTAGAGACTCTAGGATGACAACATGACACCATTTGAGTGTGCAGATGCATCATCATATCTTCTACATATAAATTAGTGCCACAGAGGCCCTATTGGTATCCATTGTTGATTAGACTCTAATCTATTAGTGACAACTGAATATCTAACTGTGCATTTGTCATACTGACTTGCGAATGATGGAATTTCAAATTACAAATTGGCGACAAAAAATGTAACCACAAATATCACAGCTCAGTTTAATAAATAAAAACAAACACAGAGTACTTTTTCTAAAGTAAAAGAAAGTAAATAAAGGGCACACTGTCCCATTGGAATTAGACCTTAATCAATTTATGTTTTTATAGCACTTAATCTGTAACAAATTATTCAACCTATGCCAACATTTTTTCATACAATTTTATACCTAAATTTCAAAATGTAGGCATAGGTTGAATGAACCGTAATTTAGATACCAGTATGTAATTTACCGATTGTGTTCTATTACCAATTGTGACATTTTGACTAGTTGATTCGCATGATAGGTGAGTAGATAGATATTGACGGGGTAAACAGTAAAAAGAATAATGGTCAAAGAGTAGAGAATAAAAAATAATGAATTGAGAAAATTGGGGGCACAAAAAAAATGGGAGAAAAAAAGAAAACAAAAATAGCCTTTAAGAATACAGAAATTAAGATCCCAAAACATTAACAAGAGACATCCCTACTGTAAAGAACAAATAATAAGGAGCCGAATACTGAGCCTTATGGTACTCTTGAAGTAAACTCCTTCCAAATTGATTAACTACCATTTAATGCTACTCTTTGGAGTTTTTATGTATCATATTTCTCTGATTACAAGGGTTTTTATAGTAATTAAGTCTCTATACAAATCCTTGGTGATATAGATATTTCTAGATTAAAAAAATCAGTGTTCAAATTTGTACAGATATCCGAATCACAGGGCGGACATAGATGAGGGTAGGAATGCCCTTTACCGGCAGGCGTGAAACGTTCATTTTCGGCTACCGTTAGCGTCAAATTGGTTAAAATTTTATCGCGATTCTTCAAAATATCCTTATCGTTATTCGTCAGAGGTCTCAAATAATTAACCGTTACCGTTATTTTTGGAAAAAATTTAGCGGGAGTCGTCAAAATCAGTCGATCATTTTACCGTCATAAAGAAAGTGTTCATTTTATCGTCATGCACCAAAAATTACCGTTAACGTCATTTGGCCAGATTTTTTACCGTTATTCGTCAAGAAGGTATCCCCATTAAGACCCTCATAGATATATATATTAATCATTGTAATTTTATTCGTTTTTCGTACTTTCTCTCTATTTGTATCTTGTATTACATTATTAACATTGGCACCAATATTTTTATGTTAACTAGCAATGTGCAGTTTCATTATCCGTATTTAATACACGTGCCGTATTACTCAGGTGCAAACCTGGGACAAAGTATATTAGTATAACCAGAGACATATAATACAATTCCGGGACGAATTTAGGTTAGGGGGCGCAAACTTAAATTTTTTTGAGGTAAAATTATCGAAATATTCTTGTAGAGTGGGTGCAATGTAGATATCTCGAAATATTTTGTGGTAAAATTGGCGAGAAATTAAATTTTCAAACTAAAACCGCCTAAATTCACCACTGACAACAATCACCATAATTAACAGGAAATCTGTGAGCTTCTATTCATTGAGACTACCCCCATATATTTACCAGAAAACGGGACTGAATAAAATTGAGAATGGAAATGGGGAATGTGTCAAAGAGAAAACAACCCGACCATAGAGCAGACAACAGCAGAAGGCCACCAATGGCTCTTCAATGCAGCGAGAAACTCCCGCACCCGGAGGCGTACTTCAGCTGGCCCCTAAACAAATATGTATACTAGTTCAGTGATAATGGACGTCATACTAAACTCCAAATTATACACAAGAAACTAAAATTAAAAATGATACAAGACTAACAAAGGCCAGAGGCTCCTGACTTGGGACAGGCGCAAAAATGCGGCGGGGTTAAACATGTTTTTTTAAGACTTGTAGAATAGAGACAGACCTCAATCCGGAGTACACAAGCTGACCCTCCATATAAAAAAAAACAACAAGCGAATGTTATGTCTATGGTTGCCGGGGAAACTGGTGTTACATTTATATTAGTCAATCAAATATTTAGGTTGCAAGTGAGAAATATATATAGACACAGCAGGGGCGGATCCAGGATTTTGGAAGGGGGCGAAGTATGTAAATTTTGCCGAGCGGAACGAGGCGAAAATTTTTTTGGACCTTTTTTTGGATAAAAACATAAAATAAGTGTAAAATGCACTTTTTTAACGGTTCCTGACGTAAGACATGTATATTTCATAGCTAAAGTGTAAGGGTTGGACATTTTTGATGCCGTATTCTCCCCATTAATTGTCTATTATAAAATGATTGGATGAGTCCAAAGCTATGTACTAATATATTTGATGTGGGACTTGTCAGTAAAATATTGACATGGAAAATTCTCGTTTGTTGTATGTTTAGTTAGCATAACGTCACGGATTTCTTGTTGTAAACAAGATATACGCCGGGCTATTCAATGAAATTTACAATACGACCGACACGAGTTAAGAAAGACAAACAAGCAATTTTTTTCCAAATGTTTGGTTGAAATGTTTCACCCAACAAGGGAAGTGAGGGGTTTCAAATCAACCAAAGGCTACGAATGAGTCTTAAATGACAACTAATATATGAATGACGGTCGACAAATGGAGACATAAAGGCCACACCCAGCAGGCAGGTTGCAGTCGGTCCTTGAAAAAGTATTCATTTTATCAGTTCGACGAAACAGACATTCCTGTCAGATATGGGATTTACATTCAAACCCCCGGCCCCAAAAAAATTACGCCCGTTTTTTTATTCATCATGTTCATTTAATGCTAATTATTCTGGTGGAAATTTTTGTTTCTAATAGCAAAAAAAGTGGACAAGATTATTGTTTTCAATCCAGATACGGCCAGAATTTTTGTTTAAGGCAAAAATCAGGGTCAGAATTTTTTCTCTCAAACATCTCAGACTGCCCCCTCAAATCAAATAGTCCGTACCTTAGACTTTAAATCTATCTAGAGCTTATTGACTGGGGATCATTTAATGCTCAACTTCACAAGACGGAATTTACTGCAAATTTTGCATTTTGTTCGCTACTGGCCGCAACCTCTATAATGTTCAAAAACGCTTCTCAAAAAAAAAACCCGCTTTAAGCTCTGAGTCCGCGCCTGCATTATTCAGCTATGTTATTAATAAGCTGGGGCGTGTTGGGTTAAACATGTTTTCGTAGGTAAATAATATTGCTGTGGAACTTTTTTTTTCATGAAAGTGTAATAGAGTATTAATTTCTGTTCGGTGGAATTGTGAAATAGAAGTCAATAAATACGTTCTTGCTCAATCCTTTCAGTGTCGCTTTGAAGGTGTCATGCTTGTCATCCTCAGCCTAAGCAATGTGTTACTGCAATTTGAATTTCAAAATGACTGAGTGACGTTTTTTCGACGCACTGGTCAACTCCACCGTAGCGAATCACAAGATTTTGACATAATCAATGATATAGTACAGTAAATACGAGCAAACATATCTTTAAAAGTAAAGAATTACCGTATAAAAATTAAATACGCAGAAAATGGCAAAGTTCACGAAGTCTAGTCTGATTAATCATTTTACAAAAAAAAAAAGTGCAAGCAAAGGGGGGTCGTACGCCCTCTACGCCCCCTCTGGATCCGCCACTGCACAGAGATATTAAATAATGATACAAATTAATAAACTAACCTTTCGCTTGAACCGAACCAGTATTTATATCTTTCATTAAGAAAGAATCTAACCTAATACGAAAACCCTGATTCCCTTTCCTGTCTGGGACATAATATACTATGTATTGTTGGTATATTCCTGGTGATATCGATTCACAAAAATGGTTCAAAAAGGGTCACACTTTTGTATTTACCGCAAAAAAATACTCTTAATTTAGCACGACATCTGGCGATAATTTTTCCCGATAAAGGGAAACCAATGTATTCGCGCCAATGAAACATCTCAAGAAAAGCAATTCTTCAGGAAAAAATAATCACAGATACTATGCAATATTCATTCAAATAACGCTCCCACATTCTATCCCATATCTGTATTGCCCATATACTATAACATTTATAGTGGTTTGTAAAAATTTTGTAAACAATATTCCGCGAGAGCAAAACAAACATGGCGGACACTGGCTCAGGAATGAATGGTGTTGTTCTTGTAGGGCCAGGAGACCTTAATAACCAGGAAAATATTATTAGTTCAAATGAGAATATCGATCAAAATGACGAAGTCAACGGCGACGACCTTCTTCAGCTTGCTTTGGACGAGGCATCTGGTGGTCTAACGACAAATACTATAGCTTACAGTGTGTCAAATGAACTGGTTGAAGCAGTGGCAAATGAAACATTTCAAGGAACAATAACGGGTGGTGATAATTCTGAACTCGCTTTTGAAAATGCCACTTATATTGTAAGTGGTGATTCTGTTAATTTTAACGCTGAAGGAACACAGTTCCAGCTTGAGACCAATGAACCTGGAAACAATGATTCAGGAAATATTGGTGTGTCTGTTGCTTCTGGTTCAGATAATCATACTAGTTCAGTAATTGGAACTACAAGTAGTGGATTGACTGTTACCCTTGTTCCTGCAAATGAAGGTAGTGGGGCACCGTTAGGTTCAAGTCAAAATCCGATTCGCATTATACAACAAGGTAATCAATATACACCTGTACAACAGTTAACTACTGAACAGTTGCAACAGATAATGCAAGTTGTCCAACAACAGCAGGTAGCAAAAAGTGCATCAGAGGGTGGTGGTTCAAGTGTTCTCTATAATCCACAAACTAATACAAAAATAGTATATCGGGTCATTTATCCATCAGAACTTCATAAAACTGCTTCTGGCTCTCAGAATTCTCAGGGACAGCAAACGATCATACAGTTAAACCAGCAACAAAAAAGGCAATACAAAAAGAGAATAAAGGAAGAAGAAGAAAGAGTTGATGGTCCTGATTTGACACGAGAGGAAAAGGAAGCTAGGAAAAAACACCGGCCTCGTACTCGATCTGGTCGGGTTTCAAAGCCACCAAAACACATGATGAAAGATTATAAACATATTCATGTTGTGGATTGGGATGAAGACTATGACGATTCAGATGGTGGGTATTCTGACTTCAAATATAGTGAAGATGAAAAAGAAGAAGAAAAGGAAAGTGAAGCTGATTTTATGTTTGATACAGGTACAAGATATTTACATTTAAACAAACTATATTCTGTATTTCATACTGGTCATTACTGTATAATTTATAATGTTAAGACTAATTTACATGTACATGTAAGATGAGGTTTTAATCATTGTGTGAATCCTGACAACCTGTTGAAGACCTGCATTTACACCACATCTCCCTTTGTTATGCATCTACCTATAACATGTTCAATGAAATGTACACACTGCATTTTTGATGTACATTTCTTATATTTTCTGGATGTTGAAAAATCATAGCTTACAATAAGATAAAAATATGTAATAAATTATTCAATTCTTTACAAGTTTATGTTGTGTTAGCCCTAAGAAAATGCAGTCAATATTACATTTTTCATGTGTTAGTATATATGTGTCCATAGATGTCATCATCATTTCAGTATACTTTAATAATGAGACTGCCAGCCTATACGTTGAAGATACATGTAAGTAACCAAAAAAATAAACAAGAGGGTAATATATTTAGTCTTCAACAAAAGAAAGGTGTCTGCACTATATATGTCGAGCTGTGTATTGTCCTGAGTCTATAAGCATGATAAGAGAGACTTTTATTTTAAATGATAAATCTGCCATTTAATAAATAACACTAAATTCTCTAAATAACAAAAACATTAAGCTAGACATACATGTACATGGATCACAACTACTGACGAGAGGTTCCTGACTTTAAGATTATTTATTTTAGAACCCACCCTCTTTTAAATCTCGATCAGTAGATTAACAAAATGTACATTTATACAAAAAGCCGAGAAAATCTCTGTGTCAAGTCTAGTTTTAAAAGAGGATGGGATCACATTATTAATGATTAATCAATAAAAGCATGTGTATGACTTGTTAAACCTTTTTCAAAAAATATTAATAGATGGAGCAATTTATAACTGGTTCTCTGATGGAAATTCTGGTTATTGATTTGGGGTAGTATGGCAGACAGGTGGACCAACAGGTATTCAGCCATGCTGGCGACTCCAGTTGTTTCTGAGCAATAACTCAGAACTTATTTACAGTTCAACCAATGCTTTTCAAATTTTAATACATACATGTATATGTTGTTACTGATGACAAAAACCAGGTCAAGTTCAATATCCAGGATTTTCGAATTAACTTTTGCTGTACGTGAGTTATGGTCCTGGATTGATAGGAAAATGGCATTTCAGTCATTTTCATGGAATAATATGAGAACCTTTCAACAAATCCTGTTCAAATTTTGACATGTGGTAACAGATGATAATATTAAGTGCATTATTTATGATTTTCACTCTTGTAATTTAGGTCAAATGAAGCCAAAGAATTGGAAGTGTAACACATGCCATAAATCTTACATAGGGAGAGGAGGCCTTGGGAGGCATTATCGCTTAAATCCATCACATGGAAATGTTGATGATTTACCTCAAGAAGAATCAGGTATTTTAACATATTTAATGGTTAATTAACTTAATCATGTAAGTAAAAACTGAGAAATGTTTTATGTACATGTTCGATGTATGCAATAATAAGTAAAGATGTAAAAACAAACAAACATGATATACATGAATGTCTGCGTATCCAAGGATTAGTATAAAAAGAAGCTTTAAAGGTTAAAGTAATATTATAGTCCATTTGAGTTCTATACATGTAAACCTTTCAATGGTAAATGATAAAAATTCATATTTATTATATAATAATTACAGTACATGTATGTTTCATTAGAATCCATAATTTTGATTGTCTGACAACATTTGAGAGGCACTCCAATATCGTATTTTATTAATATTTGGCCGTGTGATATGTGGTTGTTTCCATCTCTCATTTATAGATATACAATGTATGTAGGTTGGTAATGGAAATCTTGGTAATCTTTGTTTCATTTTATGTCTCGCCTGCGCCTTTTTTTGTCGCAGTATGCGAGACACAGGGATTACAATCTGGCATCAACGGCGTAAACTATTTGTATAAAGCTTTATATATTTCAGAAGCTAGAAGACTTGGATGCTTCATACCATGTATGCATATACCTCATGTTACTAAGTTTCCGTTGTCATATGTCCATTGTCCTTGACCTCATTTTCATGGTTCAGTGACTGCTTGGAAAAAATTACATTTTTTTGTTAAGTGAAATACTCACTTATTATGAGTTATAGGATAACTATATTTGCTATATGGGTTACTTGCAATGTCTACATGTCGGTCAGGTAGGGTTCACCTGACCTCGACCTCATTTCATGGATCAGTTTCAAGTTTTCGGTCAAGTCTGTATCTCAGATACAGGTTAACTATATTTGGTGTATGGAATGATTGTAAGGTGACCATGTCTGACTGACAGGTTTCATCTGACCTTGACCTCAATTTCATGGTTCATTGGACTGTTTAGTTTTTGTGGTTTGGTCTTTTTCTCAGATACTATAAGCAACAGGGCCACTATATTTGGTTTATGAATTCATAATTATAATTTGTTACTTGTTTTTTAAATATCAAGTCGGTTAAGAACTCTACAGAGCTTATGTTTACTATGTTAATTTGTACTTATCATGTCCAACTCAAAATAGAATTTACTTACTTACTTACTTATTTACTTACAATGTACGTATGAAATGATTGTATGGTGTACATGTCCCACTGGCAGGTTTCATTTGACCTTGACCTCATTTTTATGGTTCATTGTACAATTTAGTTTTTGTGGTTTGGTCTATTTCTCAGATACTACATGTATAAGCAAAAGGTCAATTATATTTGATATATGGAATTATTGTATGGTGTTCATGACTGTCTGGCAGGTTTCATGTGACCTTAACCTCATTTTCATGGTTCACTGTTCAGTGATAAGTTATCTTGGTTTTGTCTTGCTTATATTTTTAGCTCACCTGGCCCGAAGGGCCAAGTGAGCTTTTCTCATCACTTGGCGTCCGTCGTCCGGCGTCGTCCGTCGTCAGCGTTAACTTTTTACATTTTGAACTTCTTCTAGAGAACCACTGAATGGAATGAAACCAAACATGGCATGAATGTTCCTTATGAGGTGCTGACCAAGTGTTGTTACTTTGTAGCCGATCCATCATCCAAGATGGCCGCCAGCGGGGGACTTAGTTTAACATAGGACCCTATGGGAAATGCATACAAATGACTTCTTTTAGAGAACCACTGAATGGAATGAAACCAAACATGGCATGAATGTTCCTTATGAGGTGCTCACCAAGTGTTGTTACTTTGTAGCCGATCCATCATCCAAGATGGCCCCCAGCGGGGGACTTAGTTTAACATAGGACCCTATGGGAAATGCATACAAATGACTTCTTTTAGAGAACCACTGAATGGAATAAAACCAAACATGGCATGAATGTTCCTTATGAGGTGCTGACCATGTGTTGTTACTTTGTAGCCGATCCATCATCCAAGATGGCTGCCATCTGGGAACTTAGTTTAACATAGGACCCTATGGGAAATACATACAAAAGTCTTCTTTTAGAGTACCACTGAATGGAATGAAACCAAACATGGCATGAATGTTCCTTATGAGGTGCTGACCAAGTGTTGTTACTTTGTAGCCGATCCATCATCCAAGATGGCAGCCAGCGGGGGACTTAGTTTAACATAGGACCCTATGGGAAATACATACAAATGTCTTCTTTTAGAGAACCACTGAATGGAATGAAACAAACATGGCATGAATGTTCCTTATGAGGTGCTGACCAAGTGTTGTTACTTTGCAGTAGGTCCATCATCCAAGATGGCCGACAGCAGGGGACTTAGTTTAACAAAGGACCTATGGGAAATACATACAAATGTCTTCTTTTAGAGAACCACTGAATGGAATGAAACCAAACATGGCATGAATCTTCCTTATGAGATGCTGACCAAGTGTTGTTACTTTGTAGCCGATCCATCATCCAAGATGGCCGCCAGCGGGGGACTTAGTTTTATATAGGACCCTTTGGGAAATACATAAAAATGTCTTCTTTTAGAGAACCAATAAATGGAATGGAACCAAACATGGCATGAATGTTCCTTATGAGATGTTGACCAAGTGTTGTTACTTTGCAGCCGATCCATCATCCAAGATGGCCGCCAGCGGGGGACTTAGTTTAACATAGGACCCTATGGGAAATACATACAATTGTCTTCTTTTAGAGAACCACTGAATGGAATTGAACCAAACATGGCATGAATGTTCCTTATGAGTTGCAGACCAAGTGTTGTTACTTTGCAGTCGATCCATCATCCAAGATGGCCGCTAGGGGGGGGGGGGGCTTAGTTTTACATAGGACCCTATTGGAAATACATACAAATGTCTTCTTTTAGAGTACCACTGAATGGAATGAAACCAAACATGGCATGAATGTTCCTTATGAAGTGCTGACCAAGTGTTGCTACTTTGTTGCCGATTTACTGTTCAAGATGGCCACCAGGATATTTTATTAAATAACGGGACCAATATTAATCAAAATTTGGCCTCAATCATTATTTTGGTATCTGTTATGATTTTTATCTATCTTTACATGATTTCTAAAACCAAAGTAGAGTCAGGTGAGCGACACAGGCTCTTGAGAGCCTCTAGTTATCAGATACTATAAGCAGTAGGTCAACTAGATTTGGTGTATAGAATGATTGTAAGGTGTTCATGTCTGTCTGGCTGGGTTCATATTACCTTGACCTAATTTTCATGTAATTGTAGTAGATAAACCATTTTGTAAGACGTTTCGGCCACTGGCCTTCAGGTATGGGGCGAATTACATTGCAATGTAATGCATTATATTACAATTACTTTGACAAAACCATGCATTAAATTACAATTACAATTACATGCATTTATCAAAGTAATGCATTAAATTACAATTACATTTGCAAAGTAATGCATTGAATTACACATTTCATTTGTAAATTTTATTATCAAGTGAAAAGAAAATCAAACATTTTTTAAACAACATGAAGTCACAAAAGATTCTATCATATGCAGTAACTGTTCCATGTATTGAATTTAAGCATACATATAAAAAGTCTATTCAATACGACTATTACATTTTAACATCATACATGTCATAAGGGTTTCGAAGGTTTCATCCTTCATGTGCATTCTATGTTTCAAAGTAAACATCCCTGTGTTTTCACTAAAAAGAAATGACAGAGATAAAGTTTAATACTTATTTTAACTTAATGTTAACTTTACTTTTATAAATATACATTTGTATTTTTTTTAATTTCAATCAAAATATTTACTGAGAATTTCTTTCCTAATTATAAAGAAAACATAGAGCTTAATTTATGACCAAAATGTCAAAATAGTGAAATGATTGATTGTAAAACAAACTAATTAGTGTTTTATGACAATGTTCAATTATCTGTTCTTTAATCACGATCTTTTGAGAACAATGGAACACTTTTACAGTAATGCTTTTCAAATATCAATCTTTTTATGCAGGAAAATGTATGAAATTAAAAAAAAGAACTCAATCTGATATCTGTTGTGTTATTAGTCCCCTACCCCATAGTCGAAGGGGACTTTAGGTTTGCACTCCGTCCGTCTGTCTGTCTGTCTGTCTGTCCGTCTGTCTGTCAGTCCGGCAAATCAGTTTTCCACTCTTTTTTTCTTCATGCTTGAAGATATTGATTTGATATTTGGTATATTGTTTTATCATGACAAATTACAGATCAAGTTCGAATTTTGTTCCGGTCTGATAATTTTGTGCAGAGTTATGGTCCTTGGACTTGGAAAATTCACTCAAATATTCAGTTTTCCACACTTTTTTTCGTCATGCTTGAAGATATTGATTTGATAATTGGTATATAGTTTTATCATGACAAATTACAGACCAAGTTTGAATTTTGTTTCGGTTTGATGACTTTTTGCAGAGTTATGGTCCTTGGACTTAGAAAATTCACTTATTTTATCAGTTTTCCGCACTTTTTTTCGTCATGCTTGAAGATATCGACTTGATATTTGTCATATAGTTTACACCATGACAAGTTATAGATCAAGTTAGCATTTTGTTCAAGTACAATTAATTTTTAACTGGTAGGGGACTATGTATTGCCATGCAATACTCTACGAATGCTTGTTTATTTAGAATTGTAATTTGGTCATTCTAGTATTTATACCAATTTTTTTCAAGTTCTACCTGGGGCAATGCTTAATCCCCAAATTCCCTTTATTGATTTATGCAAAGTGTGAAAAATAAATATTGATTAGAAAATAAATATTCAAATGATTATGTTCTTAGTTAATCAAGAAATCTTACATTCTGCTTTAGTTAAATCTCCAACAATCTGTTAAAGATATATAGTATGTGAAAAAAGTAATGCCATGTAATGCAATGTAATGCTTGAAATTACACAACTTTTTGCTAAAGTAATGCATTAAATTACAATTACATGTAATGCAAAAATTGCTGCATTACACATTTCATGCAATTACTTGGAAAAAGGTAATGCATTAC